TTGAATGTTCATCAATAGGACAATTGATTGATTTTTGTAGTTCTGTTCACTGAAATATTATGTAGGTATTAGAGTGCTCTTTGTTAGTGATTCATAAAAATATATAGAAATGCTTGTTAGAAAGTGGGAAATTACAATTACTCATAACAATGATGATAATAATGGTGACTAACATCTAAGCACATTGCATATCACTTAACCCACTAAACAAACCTATGAAATAGTCTTTTTATTGAAGCCACTTTGCTGATGCAGAAGCTGATGGTAATAAAAGTTATTTATCAAAGTTACACTGCTAGTAGGTGTCAGAAGTGGGATTTGAACACCAGTCTGTTTAACTGCTGAAAGCAAAATATGAAAGCACTAATGCAAATTCCAAAGGAAGCTGTTGAGAAAGCCAAGAGAAAATATACACAAGTATTGATATCAATTGTTTGGGGCAGTAGCTGATAGATATGAATATTTTTCAATGTGTTCAATATTTTCTGTAATGAGGAGGTATCATTTTCATCATGATGAAGCAACACTGGCATTTTATGAGAAAGGCAAGGAGGACAGAGTGCTAGGTGTGATGGTGAGGGAAGAAGGATTGAGGTGGGGGAAGCTAGAGATTCCACTGGGGATGCCCTCACCTTCTTGGTCGTGGTCTTGTTTGTGAAGAACACATGGCCTTGTCTTCCTTCCTTCTGTCTGCTCCAGGTGGTGTTTCTAGTGTGTGTCTCGTTGGACTGTTGGCCCACTGAGATGCTGTTCTTGGGTTGACCTGGCCAATCCCTAACTGTCTTTCTCTCTCTCCTCTCTCTCCCTCTCTCTGCTCTCTTGTCCCCTCCTCCGTCCACCTACCTGTCCCCTGGTACAGCCGACAAGGTAAACGATGACTTCTACTCCAAGCGGCGGCACCTGGCTGAGCTGGCTGCCAAGGGGAACTTACCACTGCATCCTGTGAGAGTGGAGGATGAGCCGCGGGCTTTCAGCCCTGAGCACGGCCCCGCCAAGCAGAATGGACAGAAGTCCCGCACCAACAAGACGCCCCCCCACCCCCTGGCCTACAACTCCACCGCCAACTTTAAGAGCTGGGACCCCAAGGATCAGTCTCTCCGGCGGCAACAGGCTTATGGGAACAAGGGCAAGCTTGGCACGGCTGAGTCAGGCTCCAGCGACCCCTTGGGAACTCGCACCCCGCATTACCCACCCCCACAGCCATACTTCATCACCAACAGCAAAACGGAAGTGACTGTCTGAGCTGTCGCCACAGGGGACATCCTGGAGACCACACTCAACTGAGAGAGGCAAAAAATACCCCAGCCCACGTCTTCCCTGCCCCCCGCCAGCACACCCACCTTTACACTCACCCTCCACACCAACTGATGATAAACCTACTGGTGACATGGAATCATGCTTTTCCTGCGTCCTGCCTAATGTGTGTCGGCGGGCAGCTGAGCAAGACTGGAGCGTGGACGGTCCATGGTACAGCCAAGGGGTAACTTGAGGCACCCTCTTTCAACTTCAGGGCTGAGGTGGCCGACTCACACGCCCAAACCATGGGGCTGATTTTTTTCTTTTCCTCCTAACTTGAAACTGAAATCCATGATGGAAAAAAAAAAGGTAGCACAATTTAGAGAAATTGTCCCGTTGAGCACATATACCATTTACCACGTGTTGTCTGTTTCTGGGTGAAAAAGTGAGAAAAGGGTGGAAAGGGTGGGGTAGAGAAAAGGGGTCGTGTGTGCCCGTGATAAGCATTTCCTAATCCCAGGAAGTAGTGATATGGACACAAAACTTTGCTAAGCATGAGATAGTAACTGGACCCCACCACCACCACCGTGCTTTTAGTACTTTTCATATCTTCAAGGTTGGAAGCAAAAACAACATACACTCAAACTCACAAAAAATAAACAGACCCTGAACCCACCTACAGTGATGGGAAAGAGAGGACATTTTTAGACAACTCCCATAAAGACCATGGAAATGGGAGGGGTAGGCTTGTATGGCAGGAAGAGGGTCCAGAGAGTCTTCAATAACTATTTTTTAAAAAAAGAAAAATACAATAAGATCCCACTACCACACAGACAAGAACAGCAAAGTAATTTTGGTCCAACATTTTCAAGACCTAGGAAATCAACATCATCAAGAACAAACAAAATTCACAGTTGAGATGTCAACGAGAGGCGAGAAGGGGACACAGAGCCTGTGATCTCTGGCATTGCCCCCTTGCCTCTGAGATAAGAAACAGACACAAACCCCAGTTCTCTGTTAACTGTCTATCCCTGACTCCCTTCCCTTTCAGCCTGTTGCTGCCGCCGCCGCTGCCAAATTTCAACTGCTTTGGACTGAAAATGTCATAAGCGTGGGTGGTGCCTTCAATGTGTCACTGTTGAATGACAGTCTTGTTTCTCAAGTGCAACCTGTGTTCTTTCACCTTCCTCCCTCCTGTCTTTCTGCAGTAGTAGAAGTTGTTTCCATCCTTCTTTTGTTGGTGAGCCCACCCCATCACACGCTCTGCAGGGGCTGTTGCAACTTGCAAAGACCAAGACCTCCTTACCACCCACACCCTCAAAACTCCATGAGTCCCATGATCTTTTAGCTGCCCAAGCATTTCTGGGTCCCGTCATTCCCACTGTCCCTCCAAACCACCTCCCCAGATACTGTGGTGCATTCATCCCCCATTCATGATCCCCTGAGGTGGGTGTTCATATTGGTTCTCATGGCTAAAGGATGTCCCAACAAAGACAGTTTTCCTGCTAGTTTGATTTGCTTGGCGGTGGTGGTTTAGTCATTAAGTCATGTCCGACTCTTGCCATCACATGGATTATAGCCTGCCAGGTTACTTCATCCATGGGTTTTCCTAGGCAAGAATATGGAGTGGGTTGCCATTTCCTTCTCCAGGAGATCTTGCTCATCCAGGGATCAAACTTGCATTTCCTGCATTGGCAGGCAGCTTCTTTGCCACTGAACCATGAAGGAAGCTGATTTGTTTAGTGGAAGTCCAAAGGGGGGAACTGACAGAGAAGAGATTTGCATTTAAGGTGAGAAGTTTTCAATCAGTCCCTCAAGGTTTTGGCTAATTAACAGGAGCCTCGGAGAGACCCCTAGGTCTTCAGTTGTCAGAAACTAAACGTGGTCTGGTCCGACAAGACCCTTCCTGGGATGCTGGACTTGGGCATTCTGCCTCCTCGTCTCTGCACTCTAGCATCATGGGATCAGGGAAACCAGCTGTTTATTCCTTACTCCCAGCTGATCTGGGGACATGCACCATGCATTTCATCTCTCTGGGCTTTAGTCTTCCATTTACTATATGGGGAATTGGGGAGAGATCAAGATTTTCAAGGTTTCTGAAAATGAAAATGAAAAAAAATGACATCGTGCCCAGAAGACCTCCTGTTGGATACCTGTGCAGACCGAGGCTGTGCTAGACGAAGCAGAGATGGGGGTTTCAGTGCTTGCTTTCTCAGTCTCTTGGCTGAAGTCCCAGCGCTCCCCACTGTAGAGTAAACACCATGGGGCTTGGTCAGTGTCTCCTTGATGTTAGTTATCTGTGTACTTGCAACACACTTCTGGCATGTCTGTGTGTCCCTGTCACAATACTTGTACCTAAATTGATGCATTTTTCATAATTTTTTAAATGACCATGTAAACAGCATTGTCATGTACCTAAAAAAGAAACAGCCAGAAAACAGCACGGATACTTAAAATGAAAGGAGATCAACATTTGTTAAACATATACACAACAACCATCTAGCATTAACTACACAGAACTCCAAGACATTTCTGACAAAGGAAGGTCTCAGACTCATTTCTTTCCAAGTGGGAATGGAGGGAAATGCATAGTTATTTATAATATGAGGGCCATTTTTCATGCATATAGTATCTTCTATGTCTTATGGGTTTTCATTATTAGTGTTCTAACATCAATAAATAAGTTATTTGAAATCAGATTTAGAGAATATTAGACCTTCCCTTGTAATCTTCAGTGACATTTATTTAGTATATGGCTCTATGTGTCCTGAGTCTAGTGGCTTTGAATAAAGAATGTATAAAGTGCTGGTGTTAAGAGTCAGTGGAGCAGGAAGTGTTATTTGCTTACATTACCCTGAGACCTGCTTAATTTCAGTGATAAATTGGTGCATTTTTAATACATTTACCTTCTGAAAGGAAAACTTCCTGCCAGTATCATAAATAGAAAACCAGTATTCCTCAATGGCAGCCATCCTAAACAGGAAGTAAGTGTAAAATTATTAAGTTCTGATTACAGACTATTGCTCATGGAAGGGTTCGAGCCTGGCCTTTGCTTCCCACTTTCTCTTCCTTCCTTCCCTCCTCTCTTCCTCTCCCCTTTTCTTTATTGTTATTGCTGTTTTTCAGTTGCTTAGTCATGTCTGACCCTTCGCGACCCCATGGACTGTAGTCTGCCAGGCTCCTCTGTCCGTGGGATTTCCCAGGCAAGCATACAGAAGTGGGTTGCCATTTCCTTCTCCAAGGGATCTTCCTGATCCAGGGATCGAATCCTCGTTTCCTACTGGCAAGCGGACTCTTTACCACTGAGCCATCAGGGAAGCCCTTTTCTTTATTAAAAACAGATTAGCAGACATTCAAGAGTCGCTGAAGATATTCTAGCCCCCAGTGGAGACTTTCTCTTTGAAGTAATCAAATGGACTGACGAAAGTGAAAAAGGAATCATTTCCTACGTGAAAATGTTAATTAGTGCCGTATGCATGTACTACTTAAATTCTTCTTGCATTTGCTAGTGGTACACAACACATGCTTCAGGAAATACAGGATTGGCTCATTTGGTGAGGTTTCCTTCAGCTCAAAAGTTCTCTCATTCTAGTCTCCCATTTAGCTGGTTTCTGCTCCCTGCCCTCAGTCCCTATTGTGTGACCTTTACCCCAGCCCTGATTAAGGATCTTTCTTGGTCTCTGAATCTACAGGATGTATCTGTCATGTTCCTTCTCTTCCAAGTAAACTGCCTCCAGTGAATTTTGTTAGTTGGGAGTCCACAGCTATAATTTTGGCAGTGAAGTTGCAGTATGGTCCATAAGAAGTCGCAGTGGTGAGAATCCAAGGACAGTATTGGGTTGGCCAAAATTTTCATTTGGGTTTCTCCGTGAGGTGTTACAAACTTTTTGGCAAACCCAATACTTGGCCTCATTACCTTCCTCTTGGCTTTGGGAGCTGAACTCATGTTGGGGGAGTGAGGGAGTTTTAACAGGGAAGTTTATTTTTTGGCTTCTTCTAGGGAGAGTGGACAGACCTTTTGATACTGAAAGAGTACCCTGAAGGGTGACCTGTAGAACTATGATGGCCATGTATCAGCAAGGATCCTCTAGCTAGAATGGGGACACTTAGAAGACAGAAACCGGAACACAGCAGGGAGACGACCTTCTCATCCCACGCCCTGGCTCTTGCCTCTACTTACTCTTAGCTACTCCCCCACTTCCAACCCAGTGGGACCAGAATCTGACTTCTCTTTGCCTTCCCAGAATATCTCATCCTTCATCCACCTTGGGCTCCACCTGGCATCCCCATCTAACTCTCCCCAGGTTCTTTTTGTGTGTAAATGGAGCATATTTTAATGTGCAAATATTTTAGTAACCGTATGTTCTGCAAGTAAACCTGTGTTAATACTTGTCAACAACTGCAGAGTTTATGATACCAATAATACTTCCTACAATGATGAAAAAAAACATTTGTTTGTTTTCTAAGAATGTTTATTTGTAAACATATGTATTCACTATATTAATATGAATTTCTTACCTGGCAATAAAACTGATTATATGTGATGCTTTTGGGGTTGCCATGTATCTTTCTAGGGCCCTACATCCTGATCTGAGTTTTCACCAATGAACAGCAGTATTGAGAGCTAAATGTTTAATACTCTAAATATATGGGAAATCATTACAGGTAAAGGAAATTTTTAATTAACTGCGACAAATTCTCTGGGAGACTTTGAAAAGTTTTGGGGAAGAGTCTGTCCTGTCTCTTACTTCACTTCCTGCCTTGAAGTGTATAACACAGATCAATCTTTCTTATCATCACTAAATCTATTCAACATGGTCAGGAATCTTGCTGAGATTTGCACTTTTGTTGTTACCAGTGACGAGGTTTGTAAAAGACACAAATATTGAAAAAGTATGGGAGACTGGATTCTTCTGCTATTTACTGAATTTCATTTCCTGTCTGGCTTCCAATAGCATTAAGTTTGAATGCTCAGGTAGAAACCTGCCTTAATGTAGTTCTACCGGGGAGGGGTTCCAAGAGAAGGATTTGGTGCAAAGAGTTTATTTGAGACATGAAGGGAACACTGGTAAGGTGTGAGGAAATGAAAGAAACATGGGAAGGAAACCAGCCCATAAAGGATGCTCGATCATGTCAGCTACCGCTCTGAGTGACTAGAGTTTAATGCCTCAGGGAAACTAGGAGAATTATCCCACCCGAGTGGGCATGGAGCTGGGGTGCTTACACACCAACTCCCATCAGACCTCATGTGCGCATTGCTTTCAGGGGGTGTTCATGTTCAAACAGTCCCAGGCCATCATGTGCAAGGACAGAGTGATTTCCATGGTGGTAGAGAAAGCCCCACACACAGGGATGGTAGGGTGAGGAGGCTTAGAAGAGAGAACAGGACAAAGCGAGGGGACTATCTTTTCCCGACTCATGCATGTGTGCATGCTCAGTCACTCAGTGATGTCCCACTCTTTGTGAGCCATGGACCATAGTCCGCCAGGCTCCTCTGCCCATGGGAGTGTGTTGCCATATCCTCCTCCAGGGGATCTTCCCAACCCAGGAATCGAACCTGGGTCTCCTTTCATTACCAATGAACCACCTGGAAAGCCCTTCCCCACCCACGCCCTGATGCTAATGGGAAGTCTTAAAGACACAGGGATGGGGGCAAGGGCTCACAGGAGCTGTTCACACCCAGATGTCTAGAACCTCCTGGGAATGAAGCTTCCACCCTCTGGATACTTGGAGAAGTTGTCCGTGAGGATTGTGGATCCCAAACTGCAGTCAGAGTGAGGGTCCTCAGTCTGGGATCTGGGATCCTACACTGGTCGTGGGTCACTTGGTATCTCCCAGAGCAGATGTCATGGCTTTCTCGCTGGGACATAGCTATGGTCATCAGAGAAGCCTGGATGGCAGAGGATGCTTTTCCAGCACTTGGGAGCGGTTCAGATCCATGGAGGCATGGAACAGCACACCCCTTCCCCACAGATGCTATCCTAGGACAGACTCATACCTCTGTGGGCAGTGGGGGGCAGTGACAGAGTCTTCCATCAGTGAATCTTGGCTACAAAACACAGACAATAGCAACAGCCACCACCTTATAAATTATATTTGTAGAGCTCTCAGGATGAGCCACTGCTGAAGGCTAGGTGGGACTGTCATACTGGACCCTCACAACTGCATAAGGCAGGCACTATTAGCTTTGGAGGTGAGAGATTTATCTAAAACTTGAGTTGTTGTTTAGTTGCTGAGTGGAGTCCAACTCTTTTGTGACCCCCTGGACTGCAAACCGCTAGGTTCCTCGGCCCATGGGATTTCCCAGGCAAGAACACTGGAGTGGGTTGCCATTTCCTCCTCCAGGGGATCTTCCCAGCCCAGGGATCAAACCCATGTTTCCTGCATTGGCAAGCTGATTTTTTACCACTGAGCCACCAAGGAAACCCAAAATATGAGTAATTTTGTGAAAGCCATTCAACTATTAAGTAGTAGAACTAGGATTCAAACTCCACACCTCATGCTTTAACTCCCACACAGTGGTGCTCATTTGCATGAGGCTGTGAGTCAGTGGGCACACTTGATAAAGATAGTGGTTCCCAAGCTCCATCAGTCTGAATGGGGCCCCAGATTCAGTGTTTGTGATAGACATGGCCTCCTCACACATTTGTATGACGCCAGCTTCCTGATCATCCAATATCTGTGGGCTCACCCTGTGGACCTTGGGATGCAGGAGGAAATGGAAGGAAGATGTATGCTTCCAAAGAGAGGGGCCTTCACCCTTCAGTTTCAAGTCCAATGTTGGAAGGTCGTGTTCTCTGACGGACAGAGGACAGACTCTTGAAGAGCTGGTTGCTGCTATTGATTCCAGCACTAATTTGCCATATGCTCTGAGCCCTGAAAATAGCCCACTTGAGACTCTATTTCTTCATCCCAAGAAGGAAGAAGCTGGGATGGATAATCTCCAATTCTGCTGTCTCACTCGACTGGATGGTCTTCTTCCCCATCACTGTGTCATCAGGTATCATTAGTAGCATTGACTCCTTTCAATGCTACTAGTTCCAAAGTTTTCTCCTAGATAAATAAGATTTTGCTGGGTGTAATAACAATCACTATGGTAATGACTTTTGTGCACTGAACACTTGCTCTATACCTAGCCCTATGCTAAGGGCTTTTCATTGCTCCAACAGTTATGTGGGGCTTCCCAGGTGGTGCAGTGATAAAGAATCTGCCCACCAGTGCAGGAGATGCTAGAGATGTGGGTTTGATCCCTGGGTTGGGAAGATTCTGGAGTAGGAAATGGCAACCCACTTCAGTTTTCTTGCCTGGAAAATACTATGGACAGAGGAGCCTGGTGGGCTACAGTCCATGGGGTCGCAAAGAGTCAGACATGGCTGAATGTGCGCTCGCGCGCGCGCACACACACACACACACACACACACACACACACACACACACACCAGCTATGTGCTATGGTGGAGGTTCTTAACTTTTTATGAGTCATGGACCACTTTGATGGTCTGGTGACACCTACAGTCCTTTCTCAAAACAATGATTTTTAAATGCATAGAACAAAATGCATAGGATTACAAAATAAACCTATCATCTTGAAATAACACTGATAAAAATATTTTAAAATCCACATGTCATATAGTAATATATTCAATTTTTAATTCATGCATTCAATAACAAGACCTAATGATAAGTTTCAATATGCAGTAAGCACAAACAATCCTTTGAGCTCTCTGCTACCCCTGCAATTTGATGTGACAGTATCTGTATCTGTTCTTCTGTTGGTGACATCATCACCAGTTGAGGGACATACTACATTTCAATGATAGGCTAGTGAACCGAACGTAAAGATGTCATTTTGTACCATCCAAGTTCCCAGGCCCACTAAATTCTATCCATAGATCCCCTTGATGGTCTGCAAGTCTGGGTTAAGCTCTCATGGATTCATGGGACTTGGAGCTACTTACCTATTTTTTCCATACTTCTGTTTTCTCATCTTTTAAAAATAAGAACAATTAGAGTATCTTTATTAATGGCTGTTATGAGAAATAAAACAATAGATTAAAAGGCATTGATTAACTCAGTAAACACTTGAGTTGGCTTCTCTTATCCTGATTATTATTTCAGTGAATCCTCATGATAACCCTAGGAAATAGCATTTTATTATTCACCACTCCCAGAGGAAACAGGCTCAGAGAGATTGCATGCTGTGTGCTCAGTTGCTCAGTCATGTCTGACTCTTTGCGACCCCGTGGACTGTAGCCCACCAGGCTCTTCTATCCATGGAGTTCTCCAGGCAAGAATACTGGAGTGGGTTGTCATTTCCTACTCCAGGGGATCTTTCCAACCCAGGATCAAACCTGTGTCTCTTGAGTCTCCTGCATGGGCAGGTGAATTCACTACCAAGCCCTGGGAAGCCCCTCAGAGAGATTACATTTGCACAGTCACACAGCGAGTCAGTGCCAGGGCTGAATGAAATCCAGGTCTTTGTGATGGAAACTTAAGTCCTTGACCACATACCATGGGGTATACTTTTGGGGGGGAGGGCAATTAAATGTCCTCACTACTCCCTGGAGTGAGGCCAGTCAGAACCTGGGGTGTCTCCCAGTGAAGTTTCCAGTGTTTCTCCCCTCCCCAAGGAAAAAGGCAGGTTTCAGAAATTCAGGAAGCTCCTGTCAGATTTGTCTGAGGACCATTTTTTAAAGGCATATTGGAGAGAGTTTCTAATAATGTCCTCCCGTTCAAAATAAGCTCTCCCCAGCCCCAGTGCTTAGCAGATTCCAATTACAGGGACCTCACTGTCCTGGAAATTTTCAGGTTCTTTTATTTAAAAACTCACTTCCTTTAGAAATCTATTTATCACTTAAGACTGAAATAAGTATGTCTTATCAATTCAGACATTCTCAGTCTTGAAAGATATAATAATCATCATAATGATAATAATAGCAACAATTCCTTCTGGTATCAGTTCTGGTAACAATTCCTTCTGGTTCAGGCACTGCACACGCATTGCCTTGTTTCCTCCTTTCAACAGTCCTCTGAGGAAGAGGCATCAATCCCCTTTTTGAGATGAAGAAAA